TATATAATTTATTTATTTTGTTTGTTTGTTTGTACAGATGTTTATACTGCACAATTCATAAAATTACATTTTAAGCATTTAAAAACAAACATTTAGGCCTACATTTTCTATTATGAGAATTATAAATTCAGTCGTGTATTCAAACTAAATATTCATGCCCCCTAAAGCCAGCTCAACCAAACAAGCTCAAAAATTCAGCCCACAGTCTTACCTTAGACAGGATTGACAAAGCAGACATAGTTGTGTCTGCTTTGTTGTGACATAGATGTCACACAAACATCACCTGCATCTGTGCCACATAACTACACATGTAAAGCATTAACAAATCACAGCACATCTAGTCTTCAATCTCATAGTGAAAAGGAGGACCCAAAAAATCATCAGAGACTGTTTTTAGTCTGAATCTTAGTCTGTTTTCACTTAAACAGCTCAGAAATTATAATCTGTTGTCAGATTCAATGACAGTACTGCTCTTCTGAACTAAGGCACTGCAGGTTAATCCATAGTTCACGTCCCTTAAAGGTCAAACATGAAATAGTTTAACTGGAGCAGAGTTATTATCTGTCATCTTGAATGATAACAGACATAAGGGTTCATTTACTGTCCTAAGCCACACTTAACTAGACAGGTAGGCAGGTGCTGTCCTTCCTCAGAGCTAATGTGCAGCCAGCCAAGTCCGCGACTATTCACAGTTTCTAATAAATTATTATAGGGTTTAAAGCTCGAGGTTAAGGTCACAATGGCAGTCTGCTTAACTGGCTTATGTTCAAGGAAACTGGCAAACCTGCTCTCATGTGGAATGTCCTCTAAACGACCGCACCATTTCCCTGTAAAATCTTAAAGGAAACATTGTCAAGTACTTTGAGGTGACCAGGAAGCACCTACCTGTCTTGATATACAGCATATACTTTAAAGTATGTTCTACATGTGCCTGGCGTAAATGATGAAGAGTAACGACAAAGAGCAAACGTTGAATCCCATGCTAAAGTGATTACGAAGAGATCAGCGAAATTTTATAACCGATATTTGAGCATGATTTTTCAAGTCGATTTACCAGGAAAAATAGGCCGCAGGAGTCACAAACATACAAAAAGCGCATACAAACGTCTTCAAATTATTAAAGTTTGCATTTATGTAACACGTATTTTCAAGAGATTGTCCGTCTGTTTGTAAGTGAAATCGTCACTTAAATTTGCTGGTTCGCGAGCTTTATGCAAGACAGACATTAATACACGAAACGCAAGTACAGTATAATGTACGCACAAAACAACTAACACTGTAGAAATATGAAGTGTATTTGAACTTACCCTTTAGAGGAAGGTCAGTCTGTGAGTTCCTTCGCAGATTGAACCACTAAGTTTCGATATGCGCGTTTAAAGCACAACCCTCCCCAGCCATCACACGCTGTTTGTCTTTTTCATTGGATCTCGGAACTGTGTATCAACTTGTTACAATATTACGCCACTGAATTCTCATATTTCCGTGTTGCAAAACTGATTTTGGAATCGTATCGTCTTGCAATAGGACACGTTTAAAAACCATAACCATTATTATTTGTATCATTTTCTTGGCAGGTGCAGCGGGCGTAGGGGACAAACTATGATGTCGAAAATAAACTAAAATTATCCTAGGTCAGGTAGACTTTGAAATGCATGGTTACCTATTTAATTATACAGCTGTTAAAGGTATGGCAGTTGTAAAAACCGATAAAGACGCCACTGAAAGCTGATAAACTCTGAGGGAGGGATATGCTACATACTGAATGTGCCATAGGCTACTTAAATTCATTTTATGGGTCTAATCCGCCGTTTTTGTGGCCCGATGATGTTGCCACCATGAAAAATATAAATATTAAAATAAAATAAAAAATATTAAATGTGTACAAATCTTGTGTCCAATTTCAACAGTAACTATAGAATTGATTTTCAAATTTTCTGTAAAGTTAGCATGTAGCATGCATGAGTGTGAGTTGGGCGGTGTGCACACTGCGCAGACGCGCTTTCTCAGACATGCGCATTATATACTTGCACATCTGCAGTAATGACAGAAAGAAGTGATGTCTACTCCCAAAAATAAATTCTTTAGTAGTTTGCGTTACTAACCTAAACAAAACCCCACATAGAGTGATCATCTGGGAAAGTAAAGGCTTTGAGCCGTTTACAATATTAATACACTGGAAATATTCCCAGCAAATGTGTTTCGCTTTATTCTTGTTTTACTAAGATGTCCTTGTATTGAGTTAACAGCCTGTTTTGCAAACACATATTAGCCTTATTAACAAAAAATAACTACTATAAAATTTACTGTGCTGCCCCGATGGATCCTATTTTGTGCCCCGAGCTTTCTAAAATTGAATAGCTACACGGAAAAGGAGATATTTTGTTAAGTCATCTAAAGCAAAAAAAAGAGAAAGAGGGTGCAGCAGAGTAATAATAACATATTTGATTATTTATGTTGAAGGAACTGTTGATCCTTGGCTATATGCAATTGCCCTCATCTCATGTGTATGTATCAATGGCCAATTCACCAAGTCACCCCAGTGTATATTTCTCTAAATGGCCAGTAGATGGCCCTGTTTGTTCAGAGTGGAGTTGTAATCCCATTTTTTTTCACTATCTTGTCTCTATCCCATCCACCTCAAATCCCACGGTGATTGCATCTTTCACTCTCTTCACGGGTAATGGCTATTATACTATAAAATACATAATATGAGCATATCTCCTAAGGCTACAGCCAATCTCTTGTGTTTGTGTGTATATGGGCCACTGAAAGCAGAATACTATACATGATAAATCACCGGCTTTATGTTTAGCTCAAACATAGTAAATACAATACTGCACTTTTTAAACCCATTCCTTTTCATACTCTCTGAGTCTAAAGTAAATAGCTACCTAATATTGAGTGTATAAATAATTGTAAATTTTATAATTGTAAATACTTTTGGCAAAGACATTGTGAATGTACTAGATTAGTGGCATCATGTGCTTATGTCATAGAGACTTGCTATGCAAACAAAAAAATCTGCCAAGTAGTGCTTTCAAATGATTAATCGCGATTAATCACGTCCAAAATAAAAGTTTTTGTTTACATAATATATGTGTGTGTACTGTGTATATTTATTATGCATATGTAAATACACACATACAGTATATATTTTAAAAATATTTACGTTTATATTTAAATTCATATCATTTATCTAGAAATATTTTATATATAAACATAACAGTTTTTGTTTACATAATATATGTGTGTGTACTGTGTATATTTATTATGCTTTTATTTTATTATTAAACTTTTATTTTGGATGCGATTAATCACGATTAATCGTTTGACACCACTACTGCCAAGCTGCTATAAGTAATAGATAGCTGTACAAGGTATGTTTAGCTTAGTTAATTGACCCTAATTGACAAGCTCCTAAGTAAAAATGTACATATGCATTTGCTTGTGAATTCCAATCTCATTTGTGGATATTATTCATTGCTGGCCTATATATTGCATGCATGTCACAGTATGTTCAAATGTCAGAGGGTATTTTGTAGTAACCAAGCAGGCTTTTAGTTGAAAGAACAGTGATCTTTTAAAAGCACCTCTTGCAAAAAGCACCTAAAGCTAATCATTCATTCGGCACTAATAGAGCCTACACTAAAATAGCATCCACTGTGCGCTCTTGACCAACAATATAGCATGCTCACGTGGTTTTTGTGAACCATGGTCCTTCCTTCAATCTCTAATCTTTTGATACCACATACAAATAAAGACATATATTAAATATATAGTATAATAGTTTGTATATATATATAGTAAAAAAATGCAAAGCTTGCAATCATATTTCTATGAAACATTTTTAAACAAACCACATTCAAAATGTTTTGAAATATTAGCACCTACATTCTAGGTTGCATTTGAAATCAACCAAAAAGGGACTACAAAATACACATTTTTCAAGCGTATTTTTATTGTTTACATATACTTAAAACATTTCTTAGTGAAACAGATTCTGAGTCAGAACATACATTATTTAAATATACAACAGACAAAACAGAAGCAGAAATAGTGAAATTAAGATTATTTACTTCATAAAAAAGAAAAGTAACCTTTTTGGCCTTGTGCAACTACGCAGGGCAATCAGAAAAGGTTTTCATATTCAATACATACATTTAGTCAATACATGACTGCACAGTTTATTACAAGCTTGGACCAGCTTAGATTCAGCTATCATTCTCCAAAATACAGCTAGCATCTTAAACTGGATTTTCCAGCACAGATATAACAGAGGTCAAAGGTTAGAGTTCAACGTTGCTTTGATTCAGTCGTTCCCATGGTAACGGGTCATTATCCTCTGTGACTGTAGTGTTTCGCCGTTCGCTCCAAAAGTGCTCGAGATCTGGAAGAGTTTGACAGGATGCATCTGAATGCCTCTCTATTATGGTCACACATCCTCGCTCATCCAACACCCTCATAACCACTGTGCGCATCTCATTTCCGTTCCCCTCAAGTTTTAGTCTGTGTTTATCACGTCGACAAGCCAACAGTGAACACAGATTGCTAAGACTTTCTCTGAGGGGCACATGCATGGTCAGAAGAATGGCGGGAAAGAACATGCTGCTCAAGTAAGCGCACACCTGAGCAAAAATCAGCAAACCGACTGACGGTTTGCAGCTTTCGCTGGATCTATGGCGCATCCACACCCAAGAAACCCACTCGGGAAGCGTCATCAGCGTGTTCAGGGCGATGACGCATAAATACATCAACGAATTCTCATATTGACGTGCTAGAAAAGACTCCTCGTGGGAACTCGGTTTGATGAGGAAGATGGTCCTGATGTGGCACACGGCAGAGAGGATGATGGGAAGAACGTAGATGCCCAATGGTAGCATCTTACTGAAAACTCGCATTGCATCTTGGGAGTGAAAAGTTAATTCGGATACACACAGACTGATATTTCTCTCTTCTTTTAACCTGGAAAAAACGATATCAGGAACTGGAAACACGAGCGCAACCGTCCATATGATCATTAAGGTGATCACAACATTTTTCTGACGAAAATTTGACTGCTCCTCGGGATGACTGTAAAAGTTGTGACGTGCTTGACTCGTAGCTAACAGTGTAAATGCTTTTACCGCCAAACAGCTGTGCTGAATCCACTCTGTAGTTCTGCAAGCCAGTAGTCCGAGTGTCCAAGTGCGCTTGTAGTATGTGACCGCGCGCGCCGGAGCGCACACAGAGAGTATCATCAAGTCAGTTGCGCTCAAGTTGGCCAGCATCACATTAGCCTCGGATGCGCTCTGGCTGGCGAAAACGTAGATTAGTACCACAAGCACCAAAACATTCCCACCGATCCCAAGTCCACTGATTGTGCTGAGAATAGCTGGTACGATTATTTTAGTATCTTCCCCTTCTAACTGTTGAATGCCACCATCAAAACTCACTAATGTGCTGTTCACTGCCATGTCGAACTCCATGAGAAGCAATCCAGTGGGAACTACTCTGATGTGGATGCACTTTGCTGTGCTGAATTCCCTTAGTTGCACACGCTTGATTGCAGATATTTTAAGAGATGCCATTCAGTGTCGTCAAGCATCAACGTCATCGTAGCTGAAGGGAAACAAACCCAGATTTGTCTATTGTGCATTTGAAGCATATAATGGCGTCTCCCTATTTCTTCACAGCACCGCTTGAATGAAGTAAACAAGCAACAACTACAGTTGGAAAAAGCTTCTTCTCCTACTTCTTCTGGATTGTGTTTTGCTATAGTCCAAATGGTGACATTAATCATAAATACAAAATATGTGAGATAACCTTTCAGATAGTTATCAAAACATATATAGGTCTCATTGTGAACTTCTCCACTTACAATAGATCACCAAAAAATGATAATCTGCTCAAATTTGCTCACCCTCAGGCCATCCAAGATATTGAGGTGGTGCATTTAAATTTGAGGATGACTTCCGTACGTTTGTCCAAGTTCACATTGTTGCACTTACATTTTTTATGTGATCTGTTCAAAGGAATAAAAAAAAAAACAAAGCTAAAATGATTGCCTCAGGCCATCCAAGATGTAGATGAGTTTGTTTATTCATCAGAACAGATTTGGAGAAATTTAGCATTACATCACTTACTCACCAATGGATCCTCTGCAGTGAATGGGTGCCGTGAGAATGAGAGTCCAAACAGCTGAGAAAAATATCACAATAATCCATAAGTAATCCACATGACTCCAGTCCATCAGTAAAGTCTTGTAAAGTGATTACAGTGATTAGTCTTGTAAAGTGATAACAAATCTATCATTAAGGTATTTTAACTTTAAATTTAGACTGTGCCAAAATATGTGTTCATAATCCATAATAATGCTTCTTCCAGTGAAAAAGGCCATCCCCTGTTGTCCTCTAAATCCATCAACATGTTTGTTTAGAACAGTTTTGGACTGTCTTGGCTTGTAAATGGTGCGTGGTATGTGCACATTTGTCTCCAGATTCACATGAGATGACTTTTTCTCTGGAAAACGCAATATTATGAATAAAAGACTCTTATTTTAGCCGGAAGCAAGTTTTATGTTAAAAACGTCTTGACGATGTTTCTTACAAACATGCAGCTTGTTGCGTCACAAGATGTTAATTGATGGACTAGAGTCGTGTGGATTACTGTGATGTTTTTCTCAGCTGTTTGGGCTCTTATTCTGACGGCACCCATTCACAGCAGAGGATCCATTGGTGACTCTGGTGAGCAACTGATGTAATTCTAAATTTCTTCAAATCTGATGAAGAAACAAACTCATCTAAATTTTGGATGGCCTGAGGATGAGTAAACGTTAAGCAAAATTTCATTTTTGGGTGAACTATTCCTTAAAAGACTTATTAATAAATTGATTAATTATTAAGAATGATTAATAAATATTTATACTGTTAAGTTAGGGGAAACTTAAAACTATTTAATTTAAAGATAAAATAAAAAAAGTGCCTTGTTAGTACACCTATATGTTTATTTTATTAGTACATTAATATGTTTATTCTGTCTGTATTCAAGCATCTCGTGGCTCAGAGACCCTGTAGTCACTCTCTCTCAGACCTGCTTTTTTTTCTGGGCCAGTGTGTATATGTGATTTCTTCTTGTTGTGACATAGTGCCCTTGGCTTGGCTCTCGCAATTTCTAACAACAAAGAAAGAGCAAAAAAATGTATGCTTAATGTGCGCAGGTCAGCCGAAGCGGTTATTTTTATTTCTCTTGGAGAATTTCCCGGACGGTGAAAGTAATGTTTTTACTTGAGGGATCAACTTTTATAGAAGATGTGGCATTCACACACACAATCTTGTTTTCTCTCTCTGCTGTCAGTCAGTGCTTTTAGACGCATGTATTGCATGCCCCTGGGTCATTAGAAATCTCTTAATAACACTCTTTGACATAAACAATGTGAAAAATCAGGGCAGCATATTCGATGGAGTGAAAGTAATATTAACTGATTTAAATGGCACTTTTCTCACTTGTCTTACGTTAAAGGTGATCTATAACCGGGGACTGAACTTCCAACATTTGCAACAGAATGCTACCATCCCAAAATTGAATTAGTAGTAATGTTTACAATAACTAAAATGGTTCAGGGTTTGAATAAAATAAATCTGAAGTGGCATGTAAACTCACTTGAAAATGGCGAATGACCCTGGCTTTTAGCTTTAGAATATAGTATAGTTAGTATTACCATTTTATTTTTTACTTGTATTGTCAAATAGAATCACAAATTTCATATAGCTAAACAATAACTCAGACTGTGAAGTATTATTATTATTATTATTTTGTAATTCTGTAATGTATTAGATTTTATGTGTTTGGGGGTATTTTTCAATGTCTATATGTTTTTACAACTAAATGTTTCATTATTTTCTCTAAAAGATTAACAAATAAACAATTAAGTCATTTTTTTAGATAACGATGTGAATAAACAAATTATTATGCAATTTGAAAATCATGTTCTATATAATTACGTAACATTTTGCAACAGTTCAATAAATATCAAATTACACAAACTAAATACCAATACATCAGTAACAAGTAAAATGACACAAAACTATTAATTAATTTGCGAATGTACAGTATAAAATCTCAATTTTCCATGGTCTGAATGAAAAAAAAAAGTAATATATATGTTTATCCGAAAGAGGGCAGCAAAGTCCATAAAGCTAAATACCATAACTACGTAAAAAATAAAATACTTATTACTATAATACAACGTAATTATAAGAGAGACTATGTTGTGAAAATTATTTTGGATAGTTACATGAAGGGGTCATTGTCTTCTGACAGAGATCCCCAGCTTTTAATGTTAATATGATGGCTCTGAGTCAAGTTGTTTCACACACAAGTGAATGTTCTTGGAACATTAATATTCAGTCCAGAAGTAGCTATAAGCTCACGGCGTTTTTTCCATATCCTAGCGACATTGTCTAGCAACAGAACACTTAAAATTACTTAAAAGACACTTTTATTTTATTTTATTTTTTAAATTATTTTTTATATATAAAGGGGCGTCAAACTCGGCTTCAAAGCCAATTTTGTTCCAAGCCTGGTCCAATACACCTGCACACCTATTTTTCAAGCAATTCAGAAAGGCTCGACTGGATCAGGTATGTTTAATTAGAGTTGAAGCCAAATTCTGCAGGACTTTGGTCATGCAGCAGCTGAGTTTAACACCCCTGCTTTAAACTTTACACACGCGCAGACAGAGTAAGTGGGACACTGTGGAAAGTGGGACGCCATACGCGCGGAAATAGCATAATTTTTCATCTTCATTCACGCGCATATACTTTTATGCATAGCATTCGCGCGTTAATCTCCTCGGTTATCTTGTGGTGTATAATAAAAAGCGCTTATCCCGCGCTCTGGCCGCAGGGCGGGTTTTCTCCCACAAATAAACTATTCGGCACATAACCCGGACGTTATTGAAAAAAACAGAAATTGACTGAAATGAAAAAGGAGAAAAGTTAAATGAAATGAAGAGTTCAATTGGGAAGAGATGAAGAATAAATAGAAGTCATTGTAGATAACGCATACACCATTTGCTCATCTATTTAACATTCATTGAATTGAATAATCCGACCTTATTATCGTAAATAACCTGCATATTTACTATGAATATGCTAATGCATGTTTGCTGCAAGCAGTCTATGGCGTAATATAATATATGCATATAGATTCACAACATCGGTTGCAGCTCTATAGAGAGAAACTGATTTGTAAGGAGCAGAGTAGGCCTATCCTTTGTCTTCAGCCATCTTCTGATTGCCTCTGTTCTAGCCATTTCTAGATGCTCGCCGGAGGCCAGGCAAGTTACATTTCAATCAGCAGATTCACTGGAAAGTCATTACCCCAAACACCATGCTGAAAGGCATGCCGTCATTAGCCCAACTCGGCGCTCATTAATTGGCTGTCGCTTTGCATACGAACGGCGCTTGGGCCCTCGGCCAAACGCCCGTTTTATCTTTCTCTTTTAAGGAAATATAATAGACAATTTATCCTTAATCTAAAGCTAGAAATATTAACAAGTTAAATGTCATTTCCTGCGCTCCATTGTGTTAATCCTCTCCTGTTGCTTTCTGCCCTTAAGCACTCTGCAAGCGTTTCCTGAATGTTCTCTGATTGTTGCTTTACACGCCCCCTATATAAAAACAGAGGCTTTTCTGTGAACCATGCGATTTATGCTGATATTTATATTTTTTCCCTTCCATATTAGCCTAATAATATAATATAATAGCACCCTCACACTGAGGAATATTGAGAAATATGCTGTAGTAAAGCACAGGCACTTAAACTTTATAGTTTGTTTATTTACGCATAATGGCAAGAAAATGAACAGGATGCCAAACAGTGTGGAACCTAAAAGGATAGAAATAGATCTTAAGTTTGCCATCATGATTGTCAGTTATTTTATTGTGTTTACAGGGTGTCAACTTAGAATTCTGTTTGAATATCATTTGAAATTCTTATGTAAAGGAAAGGAATGTTTTAGAATGAGGCGAACCAACTTCACAAGCACAAAACATCACGTTGCTAATGCTTGATTGTGTTGGTCCTGTAGATTTCCTAACAAAAATGTCACTTCCTGGAAGATGGTGAGGCCTGGAAAATTATGGTGTTTGGTGTTCGGGAAGGGGACGCCACGAGAAGGGTCATTCCAGAATGACGTTGTTTTTCATTATTCCTTTCGCCAAGTGTGTTCCAAACATCTACATTATGAGACACAATTGCCCCCGTTCTCTTCAGAGTTCCCACTTCAATGACTCTGGCCTTCAGAGTGAATAGGACAAGGGATGCTCACTTCTGTCAGGACCACTATCGTCAAAGATGATTGACAATTAGCATACAGTTTGGATTGGCGGTATGGTTCTGTACTGGGCAAGAACTCCCTGCGCCTCCATGCAGCCTAGCATGGATGAGAGCAGGGAGAGCAGCAATAACCCCCCAGGGTAAACAGAACAGAACTAACATAAATGT